GATAGAAGGATGGAGTGTTCTTTTTGAGGTGTTCATTTATATACATTTGAAAGTATGATTTGTTAATTTTTTTAAGACTGGTAATAGTTTTGCCTTTGTACATAATAGGTTCTCTGTTGCAACTACTTGTGTCTACTGTCACATAGCAGGAAAGCAGTCAGGGAGATTACATAAATTAACAGACATGTTTGTATTTCAATTACATTTTTTAAGTAAAATACCTGCTATAACTAATCTTTTCTAAAGTATTTACTTACTTACTTAGTTGCTTACTTACGGTAATACTGAGGCAATACTTTTGAATTCTCAGAAAAGTCATTACACATTTTCGTGTAGAAAAAATATGTCATTACATTTCCAACAGCCCAATATTTTCTCTGAGAATTAGAATGGGAACCAGCAGGTGGCATGGAAGTTAAGATCCTAGACTCTCACATGATTTGTTGCAGCTTGAATCTCCGACCTGGTGACTTGCTTTCTCGCTTTTCCTTTCTTTTTCTTTCTGGTCTCTCTTTGGTGAGTATGCATGACCTAAACCAAATTTTAATAATAATAATAATAATAATAATGATAAATAAAATTCATAATTCTTAGAAAAACTATTATAGTGATATTCACTCACTTTTTTAAAAAAAAAAAACAACATCTTTCACAGCAGATATTCTTGGCTTCTCTCTCAGGAACATGTTTGGCACCTGTATGTCTGTATTTGTTTTCTTATGCATCTCAAATTGTTTCTTTCTATATTTATTTACTTTTATTTACTATTTTTGAGAGGTTTTGCTATAGGGTGCGTGCGCTCACCAGAAAGACAGAGAGAGACAGAGAGACAGAAAGTGAGAAATCATCCCCCAGGAGGGATGGCCATGCCACAATTTCTTCTCCATTCTTCTCTCAGGATCATGGGCATGCACACACACGTGCCCGGCGTGAGTTTAAGCCACTGGATCTGGAACTCGAATCGCGATCAACTACATGGGAGTTCAGTGACATAGCCATTACACTAACTATTGGTCCCTATTTACTATTATTTTTTAAATTTACTATAGACCATGTACACTCACCAAGAGAGACAGAGACAGAGAGAGGAAAAGTGAGAAAGAAAGCCACCAAATCTAAGGCTCTAACCACAATTGGTCATTTGGTAGTCCCACACCTTGACAACCATGCTAGCTGCTAGCATCAATTTTTCTTTTGCTTCTTCTTCTTCTTTTTATAATTTGAAAGAGGACACATTCACTCGCTAGAGAGACACACAGAGAATGAAAGCAAGACAACACCACCTCCATGAAATGGTCATGCTATCATCCTCTCTGCACCATTTTTTCCTCTTATCATTATTTTACACAACACAGAAATTCTTAATATATTTTTAAAGTCATCTTGTTTGGGGCTTATGTAACAATTTGGGTCATGTGGGAGATTGCCCCCTTAAGCACCATGATATGGGCTTTCTTTACCTCCATTTTTATTTATTGTTTTGTACACTACTTATTTCATTTTCCAATTCCTCCAATTCCTTCACAAAAACAATTTGGTGTTTTTTTTTTTTCCAGATTATAACCTGAACAGAAATATTTACTTTTACTAGCAATGAAAATGAAATGATTTCTACTATTAGAATCTCTGGAATTGCATAATACTTATGGAAAATTTCAAAACGTATTTACTTCTTATGTATGGAAAAATGGAAGCATGATTTCTTATAACTTTTCATATTTCATATTTGACAAGACCACATTTTATTTTGATAATGACTTGGTAGTATATTTTGTATGACAGCAAATTTTGAGATGCCCAAATGTGAAATGTATTAGAATGTTGAGTCTTTCATTTTTAAACTGTGTTTCTTTATCTCCCTGCAATATATTTCAAGTGTGGTATTCTGTTATTAGTCAATTCTTTGTACTTAATTGCACATATTTATGAGCTTGGTTCTAAAAGTTATAAAATATTTTCTTAATGATTTATCTGTAATTATTTTTGGCTTATCATCTGGGAATAAAAGTTAGATTTGAAGTTCAAGGTATCCACAGGTAACTTCAATGATGACACCTTTTTCATTTTATGACTAATGAGATCTAAGATTGACACTGTCTTACCCAGCACCAAACTTCAAGGACAGCACCAAACTGCAAGGGTGTCCACTGGAAATAGTTTTACAGTTCAACCTAATAGAATGAGCATGTCCAGAAAACAGCTTAAACATAACAGGGTAGAATAGTGTGTATAAAAAATATATAAAAAATATGAGTATGTGAATTAAAAATAATGATGTTCTATGTTTCATTTCTATTTGTGTGTGAGAGAGAGATTTTTGCTATAGGATGCACGTATTTGCAAGAGAGACATGAAGACAGAAACTAAGAAATTATCCACTGGGGGATGGCCATGCCACAATCTCTTCTCTCTTCTCCTCTTAGGATTTTGGACATGCATGCACATGTGCCTGGTGTGACCTTCAAGCCTCAGGATTGGGAAGTGAACCACTATTGGCCACATGGGACAGTGTCTTCATCACCATGCCACCTGCTGGCCCATATGTTTTATTTCTAATAGTTAATAGTTTTATTTGGATTGAGCAATATTAGGGACTAACAGTGTAATTATATATTTCATACTTGTTTGATTTGAAATATCTGACTCTGGACAAGAAAAACAAATAAAGCAGCAAACAGGTTTTCCTTCTTGGGGAATTTTCTGAAATCCAGGAACACAGCTGTGACTACACACAGATTTAGGAATCTGAGCAGAAAAGAGAATCATTAGTCATAATCAGGTAGGGTATGTTATGGGATACTCTAATTTCTCTTCACCACAAAGGAAATATTTGCCTCTAATAGTTCATCACTGTGTAACCTTTTGATATTACCTAGGATTCTTCTATTTTTTTTTCACAGAGGGATTTCAGCTATAGGGAGCATGTGCTTGCCAGAGAGAGAGTGAAACAGAGAGAGAAATAACCCCCTGAGGGGATTGTTGCACCGAAATGCTATCTTTATTCTCCTATCAAGAATTTTTACATGGATGCATCTGTGTTGGGTGTGACATTCTAGCCTCCAGATTCAAGACTCAAACTGCAGTCAGACATGTGGGAATCCAGAACCTTAACCACTATACTACTTGCTGACCCCCTTTAGCAAGACCTCTAATTAAGATCTAGTATACTTAGCTTTCTTCTTTGTTTTATCAGTTTTTAAAAGAATTGTTTATTTAATTTATTATCATTTTAAAAATTTGACCACAGAGACACAGAGAACAAGAGAGAGAAAGAAAAGTGAGAAAGCAAGCCATCATTTTTGGAACTCAAACTGCAATCAGACATATGGGAATCCAGTGCTTTAGCCACTATACCACCTGCCAGTCCCCTTCATGTGTTATTTACTGGATTTTTCCAAGGTACCTAATTAATTTGTCCCATATATGACTAAAAATATCCCTTGTGTCATTCTTTTGTCTTATGCAATCGTTTCATCCAAAACTATTTCAATGCAGGTTTTACATGGTAAAGACTCTGAAAAGTTGTGTTTTTGAGAATATTTATACTATGTCCTCATATATATTTGGGTAGAACACTTTAGTTTCTGGATTTTTAAATATCTAATAATGTGATATGTAGGTACACAATAAAAAGTTAACTTAAAACTCAAGGCCAGCATATATATGATGAAAGTGTGGTTAATCCAATTGTGAGTTCTGAGGCCAGTTGAGTACTGCTTTTTGTATTTTAACATGTGCAAAGCATGATATTTATATAAATCTTCTGCAACATCTAATTGCCTGAGTTTATAGTCACTGTTTTGAAATGTTTAGTACAATGAAGAGTGGTATACAAGGGGCTGGAAGGTGCTACAGTGGTTAAGGCACCAGACTCACATGGTTTGAGTCCTGAACCTGGTGGCTTGCTTTCACATTCACCATCTGTCTCTGTCAGTCTCTAGTCAGGTTGAAGAAGAAGCAGCAGAAGCAGAAGCAGCAGCGGCCGAAGAAGAATAGATAATAAAATAAATAAATAATTTCTGAAAAATTAAGAATGGTTTGCAAAATGACAAGAGAAAATGTGAATGGTATCTTCAAAAACGTAAATGGTATAGTACTGCATAATCTACTTGTTTTTGCAGTATACCAAAATATAAGAAGGACTTGGTTCACAAATAATAAAGGGTTTCAGAACACAGAGAGGAATTTTTTATACACACACACACATATGCACACACACACATATGAAAGAGTCGTGTGCTCCATAAAGACATAAGACATTTCGGTAAATGATAAACAGCATAGATTATAGTGGTACCATAAAATAATAGGTTAGGCCATATAAATTCTACATGTGGTGTGCAGATCATCTAGTATTGTGTAAGTGCAATCTATGATGTTTGCACAATGACAAAATTCTAAAAAGTGCATTTCTCAGGGACCAACAGATGGCACAATGGTTATGTCACTGGATTTCCACTTGGGTGACCCCATTTTGGTTCTCAGACCAGGCAGCTTGAGACTCACATCAGGTGCATTTGTGTGTGTGTCCAAAATCCCCAGAGCAGAGTAGAGAAGGGATTATGATATGGCCATCCCCCTGGGGGATGATTTCTTAATTTCTGTCTGTCTCTCTGGTGAGCTCATGTACCCTATAGCAAAGAACTCCCTAAAACAAAAGCACAAAAAAAGTTATAAATATATTCTCATAAAATATTTTTATTAAACAGTGTTCAATTCTATATATACATACATCACCTTATTGATATTATTAGTTAGACTGCTGCTTGAACAAACTTATGATAAAAAATCAGTTAATAAAAATCAGAACTTGGGACCAGCAGTTGGCTAATGGCTATGTCACTGGACTCCCATGTAGTTGACCGCGGTTTGAGTCCTGGAGTTGGTGGCTTGAACTCACACCGGGCATGTGTGTATGCATGCCCAAGATCCCAAGAGGAGAATGGAGAAGGAATTATGACATAGCCACACCTCCTTGGAGGTGATTCCTCGCTTTCTCTTTCTTTGTCTCTGTCTTTCTGGCAAGTGCACGTGACCTATAGCAAAAACCTCAAAAAAAAAAAAAAAGAACTTTTTCTATAGTTTAGAATGTACATACAAAATTTGAGTAGTACAAAGTCTGAATGTAAAGGACAAATTTTATTTTTTTTAGTTTATATTTTTACTGAGACAAGAGTTTAATTCACTTTTCTTTAGGCTTTGCATGGGTTGTGTGTGTTTGCCAGAGAGAGACAGGGACAGACAGATAATAAGGGAGAAATCAATCCTCATGGGGATGGCCACAACACAGTCACTTCTCCACTTTCTGGTCTACAGATGTGGGGCTTGCACATGCACACATATGCCAGGCATGATTTTCAAGCCACCAAAGTCAGAAGTTGACTATGGTTGACTATGTCAGAATCTGGTACCTTCAGTATGATGTCACTGCTGGTCCCATAAAAATCAAACTTACTACTGAGTTAAAGCAGTCACACAATTTAATTTCAGGACTGTTCAAATATCTCTGTATATATTTTGATTTTCTTGATTGTTTCTTTTAGAAATTTTTGTCTTAGGGTGTGTGTATCATGAAAGAGACAAAAGGAGAGACAGTGAGAGGAAAAAAATCACCCCTTGGGGGAATGGACATGCTGCAATCCCTTCTCCTTGTTCTCCTACTGGGATCTTGGGCACATATGTACACACATCCAGCATGAATTTCAAGCCACTTGGTCCAGAACTCAAACTGTAGTAGATGATGTGGGATTCCTGTGACATAACTACAATGCAACCTGCCCTCTCCACCTCTATATGTATTTCATATTTAAATGACATCATACCTCTTTGAATTTAACAGGCCAGTTTATCACCTCTTCATTGATGACCAAACCGTGATCATGAGTTTTCCTGTAGACAAAATCTCCTATTTTAACTAACAGCCAACTGTTAGTAGAAAATCTCACAATGTTGTGGATATCATACTGTATGGTATTTCTGTTTTCATCAAGGGGGATGTTGTATCCAATGTTATTTGTCAGTTGGCTTTTCCTCAGAAATGGATAAAGTAGACAAAATCTCCTATTTTAACTAACAGCCAACTGTTAGTAGAAAATCTCACAATGTTGTGGATATCATACTGTATGGTATTTCTGTTTTCATCAAGGGGGATGTTGTATCCAATGTTATTTGTCAGTTGGCTTTTCCTCAGAAATGGATAAAGTTATATTAAAGACAAGGTTTAAAAATTAGGACTGCATTTAATAGAGAGTTGTTTGGTCCATATCTATCAAGTAATTCCCTTTTAATATCCCTACCCTTATGTTTACTTCTTAGAAGGAGTTGAGTTTGGTTTGAAAGGTCACCTGCTCAGGGCTCATGTAACATGAGCTCTTTTTTTGTTTTCCTTCATAAAAACAATGGAGGAGTGGTTGTAGCTCATGAGAAAAATTCTAGGATGTTTCCCAGAGGATGATTTATACATAGATCCTCATAAAATCCAGACTATTAAAATCTTGTTTGAACTAATTGTAGTCTAATCTTGATGATTCACAAAAGGCACAGATGGAGCCAGACAGTGGCATAGTTAAGGCAGCTGAATCACACATGGCCAACCCGGCAACTTGAGTCCTATACCAGCAGCTTACAAAACACACCGGGTAGGGCCAAATGTGGTATGGTGGTAAGGTGCTGGACTGTCACATGACTGACTGCAGAAGAGAGAGATAAAGTGAGAAAGCAAACTGCCAGAACAAGGATTAGAGCCATGATTGGCTAT